ATTGTTTAATATTATCATACTGTTTTCCATTCTTATATACAGCACGTGCTAGTTCTCCCCAATAATTTTCAATAATATTCAGGTCCAAGGAGCGTGCGGGCAACGGTAAAACCGATACGTTTTTAAGCTGAAAAAATTGTTCTTCGACTTTAATTCGGAGAATTCCAGCATTGCCATGTTAAAAAATAAATTTATCAGTGGTAATTCGTAGTGCGTGTTCAATACTTTGTTTTGAGAGTAAATTTATATATTTTTGATAATTCATTTTTCCTTGAAGAAACTGTACATTTGTTTTGCCTTTGTATCCATTCCGTTTAAATTCCAGCCCAAATCATTACTCCACCCTCACCCATTTGTCTTTGTTTTTTTACTAATCTTTCTTTTTTTAAATCATGGTAGTAAAATGAAAATGTCAGTAAAAAAAAATTCGTTTCCATTTCTTCGAAGATATTGTACGTTATAACAACTTCAACTCTTTGTATACATATATATGTATATATAATATATATATATCTATATTTATAAAAACTATATCTCTTTCCTCTCTCTTCTCATTCCTTCTCTCTTTCTCCTGTTCTTTCCATACTTGTTCGGAGCTCCATTGCCCCTCCGTTACTTCCTGGTCCCTTCCTACCATCTCATGTGGGAATGGGATTTTCTCCATCACCTTGTACCTATCTTTTTGACTCTCTTTCGCTCTCTCCACCTTTTCTTTACATTCTAAGCAAATGTATTTATTATTCGTCAAAACCAGGTCAGTTCTGGAGTTATAGCAGATATGTCTCCCTCCTGATTTAACCTTCGTCCATCCAATTGCCCCTTCTTCTTCTTCCTCCTTCTCTTCTCCCATACCAGCCGGTATGGTAGGACCCACTCTCACCTTCCCCTCTGTTCCATTTCTTCTTACCGCATCACTATAGTTTTCCCGCGATCTATTTATTCCCTTGCTTCTGTCAACCACTTCTCGCCCCCTTCTAATCCTTTCCAATTCTCCTTGGATGGGGATCTCTTTCTTCTCCCATGTCTCTCTTTTTTGTTTTTGTACTAATAATGGAAAGTCTCTACTTCCTTCGCCAAACATTTCGTCGAGTCCTCCCACTCTGTCCGGTTCTCTATCTCCCAAGCTCCTGGCCACAATCCCTCTGGCAGTTTCGAACTCTACGTTTCTAAACGCCATAACCTTTTTTATGGCCGCCTCTCGCTGCCAAACCCAGCATGTTCTAGCTAGCGAGCCATGTTCCCCCCCCCCAAATTATGCACTTTGATTTCCTCTCACACTGCCCGTGCTCTTTTTCTCCACAATTTACGCACCTCCTAATTGCCTCCCTACAGTTCGCTTGCAAGTGTCCATACTTTAGACATCTGTAGCACTGTCTCACAGGTTCAACAAAGGGCTCTATTTTTATCCCCACATGCCCCTGGCCAATAAGTAGTCTAGTTGGTAGTACACTTCCGTTAAAAATAATCATTATCGCTCTTAGGGGCTGGAAGATTACCTTTCCATCCACCACTCTTCTTTTCTTCATACGTTCAAGTACAAAACTCCCTTGCCCCGGCATCGCCTCTTCCTTCAATTCCTCCACCGAATCCTTCCACTCAAAAATCACTCCTCTTCTATACTTCATTCTCCTTGGAAGGAATGCAGATACCTGACCCTCCTTACTACCGTATCTTCTAAGCAGGTTGTTCGCCTCCTCCTTACTCTTCGTCGTTACTTCTGCTCTACTGAAACCAGTCATACGTATATTTTTTATGTTCACCCCCGCACCCTGTACGAATCTATAGATTTTAATCAAATTATTTCTTTTTGTTCTGTTTTTACCCCCCGCCTTCAAAACACAACACACCACATATTCGTCCCACGTGGCCTCCTCCTCATACAATTCAACGACCCATTCCCTTTTATCCCCTTTATTTTGTATATTGTCTGTTCTTTTCCCGGATTCGTCCGCATTTAGAGTCTGTTCGCCTTCCCTATTTCCTAAATTTCCCCTATTGTCTATCTTAATTATTTTAACTACGTCTTCCTTATTATCTAAATTATTGTTCTTATCCTCTAACACCTTATTATTAATACAGTCTTTCTCATTAGAAACATTGTCTGTTTTACCTCTTTCTTCTTCCCTTTCCTCTACACACAGTTTATCTTTCTTACTTAAATTCACTCTTTCGCTGTTGATAGCTACACTTTCCACGAGGTAATGGCCGTCCTTTTGCGCTTCGCTTACCAATACCCCACGCTCCCGCATTAAGTCCGTTGGCGCTGTAGTCAGCACGTTTGCCAACTCTGCCCCATCATGACCCTATTTCCCTATTCGAGTGTACCTGATTGGTCACCTCCCCCTCACTTAACACTACGTCACTTCCTTCTTCTTCTTTTATCCTCCTTTTCTCCTTCCTTCCTTCTTCCTCCTGGTATTCTTCTTCTCCCTCCACCTCTCTGCTTCTCTTTTTACGCTTTTCCACGTCCATCTTTTCCACCTCACCTCCTTTTCCTTCCTCTTTACTTCGTTCTTCTCCCTTACATTCTCTCCTCGTAGCATCCAATACTGCTTTTTCCTCTCCTGCTAAATATTCTAACGCTCATTCCTTACGCAAGTTTGTAAGTAGCGTTTCATCGACTTTTATCTTCTCCGTTTTCTCTTTACTTTTCTCCTCTATTCCTCTGCCTTCATTCTCCTCTATCTCTTCTATTTTAGCACTCATTTTCCTTTTCCATTTTCTTTTCTCCCTAACTCTTCTCGTCTTCTCCTCTCTACTCCTCTTCTCTCCTTCTCCTTCCTCTATCTTGTCCCTAGTTATCGACCAATCAGTGGACCTCCTGATTCTCATATACCTCCCCTACTCCTTATCTTATATTTTTTCGTTACTTCTAACTAAAATTTTATAACTATCTAATCCTACTAACTAATAAGATAACTTGTCCAATAATTCACCAATCAAGGCACTGAAATAAACGCAAAATCACGGAGCACACTCCATCGCTCTTCTTAATAACGCTACAATTAATCTTTGTACTTCCACTCTTACCTAAATACATCACATTTCTCTTATAATCTTTACTAAAGTTAATTCTCTCCTAGTTCAAGTCTCTTGTCACTTTGTCTACAGACCTCCTTCCTTCCTTAATTCTCCTCTTATACACCATACCCATTCTAGCTGACTTCTCCTTTCTTATATTTTTATTTCGCATTTTCTTAAAAAAGCTCCTATCAGCCTCAGGGGTTTCGCTTCCCCCATTTCTTTGGTTTCGAAAAACCCTCTCTCTCCATTTACGCCACATGTTCGCATCCTTCTTTTGAATTCCTCTCTCTCACTCTCATACTTCTCGCACTCCTACAGCACATGATCCACATCCTCTATCCTGTCACACTTTTCACAATACGGGTTATCCACCATAAACTTCCTAAGTAGCGACCACTTCAAGTTGTAATGATTAGCTCTCATTCTGCTCAATCCACATAGAGTCCTCCTTTCCAGGCTTCCTATATTCCTGAACCACGGAAAGTCCTTACCCACGTTATTCCACTCCGATTCAAAATACTTCCTCCCCTTGAACTCCCCTTGTCTTAGGTGCCTTTCCATTGATCTCAGCCACCCCCTATCCCTAATCACTCTCCTAAAATCTTTCAAAGTGAAGTTCACCCAAAAATCCGCATCACCGCCCGTGGCCTCCTTCGCCACCCTGTCCGCCCTTTCATTCCCCTCAATTCCCACATGCGCCGGTATCCAAGCCAGGGATAACCTCCCACTCAGACTCCCATTCCTTTCTGCTATCAGTATAGGTTCTTTTAAAATTACTAAATTTGCGAAATATTTCTCATTATTTACCAGATGGTCAGTACATCCTGAATCAACAAAGAATGTGATTTCCTTGTTATTTACAATACTTTTGTCTCCTTTACTCTTACCCATAAAGCAGATATTGTTGTGTCCCAATTCTCTGGCTTGTTAATTCCTTTCATAATAATTACCTCTTCTAACTGCTTGGTAACCTCTGCTTTGCCCTCTTTGATTTCTGGCGTGCTGAATTTGATACGATCCTTTTGTGCCATATCCTTGGCTAACTCCCCTTGTTTGTCCTCTTCTTGGATAACCTCTACCTTCCTTCGTTAACTTCCTAAGATGTTCGTATTTTTTAAATTCCTCTAATGGCCACTTCTTACAGGCCCTTTTAAAATGTCCATGTTCTCCACAGTTATAACAAACTCCATGCTTGTTCGTTGAGAAGGCAGCAGATTCCATATCTTTCCTGGCATTAGTTATCGATCTTCCCATTCTCTTTTCAGCTTCGGCTTTAAACTTTGACTTTACCAAATTGAATGTGAGAGTCTCTGCTGGCACATTCTCCAACACTGTCACCACCATTTCATATGACTTCGGTAGAGAGAGGAATAGATTGCATATAGCATCTTATTCTTTAATTTCCACACCGAAAGCCTTAAGTTGATTCAATACTTCTTCAAACTTCAGAATAAATTCCTCCAAATTTTCATCTTCACTTAATTTCATCATCATTAGCTTGTAACGCGGTAGTAGGCGGTTGCCTACTGTCAGGCGCGAACGCTGTCACAGTCAAAACCACCGATAGATGGCGTCTAGCCGCGACCGCGGTTCTCGCGGTAGAATCGGTACCCGCGGCATATATAAGACCGAGCCGCGGGCCGATTCGGAAGAGCCGCGGTTCTCGCAGTAGAATCGGCAACCGCGGCATATATAAGACCGAGCCGCGGACCGATTCGGGAGAGAGCACCAGACGAACCGTTGTATGAGCAACCGACCGCTCACCGAATCGTCACCGTGCGGCTCTCTCCACGATTTTTGTGTGTATCTCCTTTACTTCCGACGGAAGGCAACCTGGGGCAGGGCGTATTCGATCGTCCTCAGGTCGTAAACCAGACTCCGTATTCCTCACCTCACGACGCCTGTCTACGCCGCGAGACAGAGGTATCCCGACCGCCGAGGGTCACCAGCAATGTGCTTTCGGACCAACGGTCTCCTGCCTGGGGGACGGCGCAGGGCTTTAAGCAGCGTCGGACCTGAACCAGCGGCAAAAGGTCTAACTCCTTTTCCCGACTCTCCTTCTTCCCTAGCGATACTGTGTAAGCGATAGTTGGTAAGAGCGTTTGCGTCTCCGCGTCCCGCGAATTGCGTTCCGCGTTCCGTGCGTTTCCGCGTCTATGTCCGTCCGCCATCTAGTTATAAGCCGCGTTAGTCAGTAAGTCTTGCGTACCCCGGGACCGAACCCGGGCATACCGGCCGAGCTGGCAAAGACCCGAAATAAAAACTCCCCNACGAAGTCCGGCGATTATAAGCTTCCTTTTCAGGAATAGTTGCCCTGGCAAGTCCTTTTTCTCATATGCCTCTCTTAGACTTTCCCACATAGTATATGCAGTCTGTTTTCCACTGATTAACTCTAAGTGGCAGTTGTCTACAATTTGAACAATAATTTATTTATATTTATTATCCTTTTTCTTTGCTTCTTTCCGGTTTTCAACTATTGCGTAATCCATACCTCTATATACGTTATTAATCATTTCTATTACATCTTACTCAGTCATTATAGTTTCAACTCCAAATTTCCAGGCATCAATGTTAAAATAGTTTTTAACACATACAGCCATTTCCCGGATCGTTTTCTCCACGCGATTAACCTCAATTTTAATCTCAATTCACTCGAATCAAGCTTCCTGAGCCCATAACCTGTTATAATTTTATGTATGAATCATCACTATAGGTCTTCTTTAGTTCAGAGATATATATTTCAGTTTATAATTAACAATAATCTGTATAATATAATAACCGTAACACTTTTCAATTTCTCACGCCTCAAGCGTCTCTCATTTTCTTGACTACTACACACCTCTTACCACTCTTCCTCAGATGGTACCACTCACACATATATTGTAAAGAGAATATACTCTCTTTAAGATTTGGCGCGCGGAGTAGGCTCCGCGCGCGCTATTAGGATACTTACTAGAGGTCTCGCCAGGTAGAGACAGGTAATGAGAAAGAGAGGGAAAAACAACAAAAGGCACAGAACCGTTAGAAAGACAGAAGATAGAATTAACAGAGAGACAGATTGAGCGGAAGTTAAAAGGGAAAATAGAATAATTAACATAAATTGTCGTTTCGTGTATTTACAGGTAAAGTCTGTATATATTGTAAAGTTTGTATATATTGTATATAGTAGTTTTAAGCATAAAATAAAAACGTGTATTTACAGCGCAACAAATCGGTTGATTATTCGGAACCCCACAAACAAAAAACCCGCCGTTAGTAATTGGGTTAGTAAAAACCCGCCATTACCTTCCTCAACAAAATAATGCGTCTTTTATTTTTATATCGAATAATGTATTTTAACTAATACACTTTATAATACTATAAATATTAAAATGTATACAGGGTGTCCCTGTATATTTTTCCTTTACTAAAATGTTGGTTGAGGCTCTATTTTTGAGTTATTAGCAAAAAACATTGACCAATGAGAGCGCACATAGACCGGGCGCGCGACAGCGTGAGCGACAGCTTCGAATATGACGGCCGATCGTCGTCGTGAACATACGTAACAGTATCGTCGGTATCGTTACAGACACCGCGGCATTCTGCAAAAGCGATTGCGAAACTCCGAAATTTGCATGGGTGACAATACGAGTGAACTCGATTTGGCACGCTTTCGGGTATACAAATGTGTGTAGTGTGTAGTGACGATGCAACTCGAAAATCCAAGTTTAGTTCCTGCGTCTATACGTCGAGGTTTTTTCTTCGCGCTCGGCCAGCGGTCAATCGCGTATCGTATCTCCGGGTCTGATAGTACAAGACCCGTAAACAGTTAATTCCGGGAGTGCGTGCGCCATCGCAACAGACCACCGCGAGAGATAAGACTAACGTCGACGTCTAGAAAGCGAGACAGTACCCGAAATCGAGTCACCATCAGTCACGGGAGTAAGTGTGAGTGAGAAAGAGAAAACATCGTTTTTGTAAGTAAAAGGAAAGAACGTTCATAATAAAACCCAAGTGTGAACAGATTAAATGCCTAGTCAGTTTTGAAATAGGCTCCGTTGTCGAATTTCCTTAAATAAGGTAGAAACCGAAGACCTACGCGAACTATACATAAACGGTTAAGGTCAAGGTGTGCGTTAGCACTTTAAAGATCAAGAACCCACGAATTAGAGTGCGACGTAACAGGGTCCTCTCCCATACATCAGTACATATCCAGTTGTGCTTTTGTAGTTGGAGTGATTTCCCGAAAATCATCATCACAGTAAGCAGCGACGTGCAGGCCGTCAGTTTTGTGAGATTAGTAGAGAATGTCTTCATCTTGATGGGCATTTAGATACTGCAGAGTTCTTTTTACATTTGCTATGTCTTGATTGGTCGGTTTGCTCATGTACCTGCTTTCATAATTGACAGCACAAGTCATATCAACTTACGTGTTACCTGCCTCTGCCTTGAAAATAATACATTGATCCATCTGTTAATAGTAAAGGTGTTCGAGCCTTGTAGGTATTCTGCATGCTTGTACCAACGAAAAACTAAGTTCTATAACTCGAAGGACCACCTGATACTTCGGGAAAAATGTCTCAGTGTCTAAGGTTCAAAAAGATCTATTCGAGTACTATGAGAATGCTAGTTTATTTCAAGTCAAATGCTATGTTGTATCTGTGCCATGTTCTATCTAGTGCTATGTTTGTATCAAGTGCTAATTTGTATCTGTTTAAAGTGCTTAAAACTATCGTCGATGTAACCTCTGCAGGGATGTTCTTGGCAGGGGAGGAATGTTGGGATTGGTTAAGAAAATTTTGAAATCTAGGGAAGAGAGGTGGAAAGTTTCCGTCCTTCTTGGGTTTTTTCCCAGTCGTCAAATGTGACTAATTTCGGCCCTTGGCTGTGGCAAGTAATAAAGTCATGCGAGAAATAACGGACTAGAAAGTTGGAAATGATGGTACCTGGTGACCATATGTGAACAAAGAACGAAAAAAGCTACGGTAAGAATCGCGGGTCTTTATGGTTTCATGAGTTTACTGCTGCCACGGAACGTTTTACAAAATTTGAAGGGCTCGACTATAAATTATATGAAAGGCTAACTACTATGAATTTACAAACTAAGGCTAAACTAAATATGTACTGTGACGTGGTATCTTATACCCGTCACAAGGAGCCTCCTCGGGAGACCGGATAGGTCCTAGATCATTGGCAGAAAACCGACTAGAGAGAGAACGAAGCGCGCGTACTACTATAAGAACGAAATCTGTCGCTTTATTATTCTGTATATACCGCCGTGGAATGACGTCACCACCAGCGAGGGAATGACTGCCGCTATCCCGCTACGACCATACGATAGACCAAGAGAGGCTGCGGAGTAGGAGGAGGTCCTGCCGAAGACGACTTCGCAGGAAGACGGAGACTCCAGCATAGGGTGGGGGATGATCACGAGGTGTCCGAATACCGGCATAAGGGCTCGCGGTTCATTATTCTGTATTAGGCGCCTGCCAAGTTCAGTCAAAGTAAAAGAAAGTTTTTGTACCGATCTCGCTCTTGCGTGCTTTAAGAATCGCCCTGTGTTCTCGGTAAGTCCCCTCACATATATTTCATTGTAAAGAGCACGAAATCGAGAATACCGTACCGTGGGTTATCGACCACCCGGCGTGCCAATCACGGGCAGGTTCTGCAAAAGGTGACCGGAGTGTCGGCATAGAATCGCTAGGGATTAATTAGCATAAGTTAGACGGGTAATTCCGGGAACCCCCGTCCGGAACGGCCGAGGATCCCGACGTCCGGACGTATCGTGACTTAGAAAGATCGCTTCTCGATCTTTCTAAAGACGCACTCGGCAGGTTACTGAACCTGACCTGGGGATTAGTACCGCGTGAGCCACAATTTATTTTTCTAGTCTCACGAAAGCCGTTGCCAATATTGTGCCCTCTCACGTCTCGATTTCGTGATCTCATTGTTACGGGAGCAGATTGTAAAGTGCATGTTCTATGGTACTGGGAAATTCGTAGTTTGTCGCGCTGGTTCTCGCCTTCTCTCTCTAGACGGTCGCCGATACAGGATCGGTTCGCGTGTAGTAATAAGTCGCGTCGCGTGTAGTTAAGTGCGTCCGATTTCGTTGTGTCTAGTATATTTGCATTTCGGTTCGCCGTCGACGCGTTTCGCGCCGCGTCTCGCTAGAATAATCGCGTCGCGTTTGGTTTAAGTAATTGCGTTGCGTTTTGCTTAATTTAGTTGCGTCGCGTTCTGTTTAAGTAATTGCGTTGCGTTTTGCGTAGTTTAGTTGCGTCGCGTACCGGCCCGAGAATCGATACCGAATCAAGGACCGTGTCACACCTAAGAATTGGCAATTTACCGTCGCCGGGATAAAATCTCGCAAAATCTCGTAACTTG